TTATTATCTTCATTATTACTACTACTATCATCATTATTATTATTATTACTATCATTATTATTATTATTACTATCATTATTATTACTATCACTATAATTATGATTGTTATTATTATTATTATTATTACTATCATTATTATTACTATCACTATCATTATTATTATTATCACTATAATTATGATGATGATTATTTTTATGATTATTATTACTATCACTATCATTATTATTATTATCATTATTACTTCTTCCTGCAGGGTGCGACACTCGGGCCTGAAGCTGTTTGCCTGCGAGGTGTGCGGGAAAACGTTCAGCAGCAAGAGCGAGCGGACGGTGCACAGCAAAACCCACACGGCGGAGCGCCTCTATGTGTGCGCGGTGTGCGGCAAGGACTTCAACCAGAAGCGCAACCTCACCAAGCACCTGCAGCGCCACACGGGCGTCAAGCTGTTCCAGTGTCAGCAGTGCGACAAACGCTTCGCCGCAGACCGAGACCGGCGGGAGCACGAGCTCACGCACACGCGGGACCGGCCGCACGCTTGCGACATCTGCGGGAAGACGTTCCGGCAGAGGTCGCACCTCAGGGGTCATCGGCTGACGCACTCGGATCTGCGGCCCTTTGTGTGCACTGTGTGTAATAAAGGTTTCACCATGCGGTGGCGGCTCACCTCGCATCAGAAGACTCACTTGGGAGGAGGGGGAGGGGGAGCTGGAGCTGGAGGGGGAGCGGGAAGGGGAGCGGGAGCGGGAGGGGGAGCGGGAGGACAGCCACTTGCTGCCCACAACTTGCCGGTGACGTAGGTATACTCACTAGGGAGAGGGAGGGGGGGTTGCCTTTTTCTTTCAGTTACATGTTCAGCGTAAAAATGATCTCTTACAGTTACAGTCACAGGTTGTTTAGATAATTATTTATCGATCTCACTCAGGTTTCTAGATGACCGGTTTTTGTTGATCTTTTTCAAATTTTTTTTTATTAGTTATTTATTGATCTTCAGTCTTCAACAAATTTTTTAGATAATTTATTGATCTTTAATTAATATGTGTTTTGAGTTTTATTTTGTTTTAAACTGCTGTAATTTTGTGCAAAGATTATTTAGTGATCTTCAACAAATATTTTAGATTGTTTAAAAAAATGTTCTGCAATTTTTTTTTAAAGATTATTTTTTGGATCTTCAAGTTATTTTTTTAGATTATTTATTGATCTTCAACAGGTCTGTCCCCCCAGAATTATACAAATTTAGATGGCCAAATTATGCAAGAAAAATGCAAAATTATGAAAAAAATTATGCAAGTTGCCGTAATGCCATTCGCGACATGTTTTGCACTTTTTCAACAAGAATTTTCATGTTTTATGAACGGAAAATTTGAAAACAGAACATATCAGTATCAGTAATTTGTTGTGTATTTGGAAAGAAAACAGTACACATCAGTCAGAAAAAAAGCAATCAAAAAATATAATCTCTATAACTTTCAGCTGTAGATCTAGAGGAAAGAAAAATATGAAAAAAAAGAAGAAAAAAGACATCTAGACTTCTGATGCTGGCACATCTCTAAAACCAAGGACACCTGTCAGACATGAAACATCAGCAGTCGTGAAAACAACTTTTGATGGATTGAAAAATTGAACATGCTCAAGGAACAAAATCCCTAACCCATAACCAATAACTAAGATTTTCTAACAAGGGATATGACCAACTTGTCACTTAAATGAGACTTATTGCTGTGATTACTTCCCTTTAGTCACATGGCGAGGCGTTAAATAATTGTTTTGTGGAAAATGAAATAAAAAAACGTGAAAAAACGCGGGTAATCCAAAATTATGCAAATGTGGCAAAATTACGTGAAAAAACGCGGCCGCACAATCGCATAATCTGACAGGGACAGACAGGTCTTCTAGATTTTTTGTTGAACTTCTATTTATTTAAAAATTTTATTTATTGATGTCTAACAAGTGTATTAGATTATTTATTATATATTGATCTCAACAAGTTCATTAGATTATTTATTGATCTCAACAAGTTTGTAAAATCAGGTCAAGATATAGTTTTGTTACTTCCTTCATAGTTTTGAATGGAATAATTGTACTGAGTGACCAAGTCATGGTTCTGATTTTCTTTATTTTTCTTTAAACTTCATAGAATGATTTTAACAATTTAACCCTATCCGTACGCTCTGGGGTAATTTTGTACCCTCGGGGTTGTATTCTTCACTTTTTAGAATACTTCTAGTACGAAGATCTTTGTGAAACTTAGAGTGTTTTTCAAACAATCATTTTGACAGGCTGCTATGCAAAGCGTACGGATCGGATTAACGAGTAAATTTTTTCTTTAGAAAGTGGTGGCACAGAGTTCCCCATGTCGTACGGATACGATAGTAAAACACGACATACGGGTAGGGTTAAGTTCTTGTTTTAATGATATAATGGTTATGCTCACTAAAAAAGTGGTTTAGATTCCCACTTGGGATAGCATATCATTATCAATAATATTGATTGTGTCAAGCACAAACGGGCTATTTTCTATATTTTTTAAATTACCGGTACTTCTTAAAAAAAACAACCCAGCTTTGTTTCCAGTTCGAGAAGATCTTTCATAAGGTGTACTAACATCTAGTTCAGTTGAATTGTCAGTGTCTGATTCCAGCCATGAACCCGCCAATAATTAGGTCAATTACTTTTTTGGTGTTAAATTATATTTGCTCACAACTAAAGCTCTATTTACGATATTGTAAGATGTAAAAAGAATTCCCTACGCAAAATTTTGAGAAATTTTGATAGATATTAAAAAAGATATTACATTTTTTTAAACAGTTTTCTGGAAATAAATGTTGATGCAATGAGTCGGACATTGACAAAATACTTTTTAATTCTTATCTTTCCTACACATGTATGTGTTCACAAAACCTGATGACTCAGCATTTACGTTTACTTTTCTGACGTAGTTTTTCATTTCTTCTGAAAAAAAATGAGCTTGCATGGATTTGGCCTGTTTGTGTTAGACACTGTCAATATATATATATATAT